GTGTAAATCTTGGTATTTCCTTGTTAAAACAAAGTGTCCCCATCCCCTAAACTGTAAGCATATGTGGTTAAACACTGAGTGGCCCCTGTATTCATCTATTATAACCTTTTTACGGGGGGGGGGGTTCTTCCTCAGTGACGAATGAATCAGGTGGCCATTGGTTACTTCATTTCTAAATAGAGAATTTTTCATGAATGTGTTAGATGGCCCCAAACTGTGTCTTTAATGACTCTTTCCGAGCCCATTTGAGAAGAGCATAAATTACGAAGTGGTTCAGTGACATAGTCTATAAATGTTAAATAGGTTTAGCTGATGGATGGATTGCATCAATTCAACATGTATCTTCTTGGCCCTTTTTAATCTTTATGTAGTTCCATACTCATGGTCTGCTATAGGAAGACTTACAGCCAGTGGTCACCTGCCCTCTGGGGCGTGGCCTCTTATACTAGCTAAGCCTATGTAGAGCATGCATCTACTCTTTTTCCGGTTGCTGGATTCAGTTTCTATTCTCCGTTCAAGCAGAGGATTCCAATGTGTGAGTCTACCCCTAAATAACCATTTATTTCTCAATTATGAGCTAGTGTGGGATTTCTTTTAAGCGTCCTTCTACAATGATCCTTTTCCTTATCATGAAATATGCTTATTAAAATTATTTTTACATAGCCCAGAATGGCATTAAACTTTCTAGGTAGCCAAAGGTATGGCCCCAATGTTCCTCCTGCCTCAACCTCTCAAGTGCTAGGATTGCGGGGTTACCACCCACTGTATCCAGCTTGCTTTGCAGTAAAATAACAACCCAGGGAGTATTGTGAAGTATATAAGTTCTGTAAATTGGATATCACATGCTTCTCACATAGCTAAAAAGTAGCACTATAAGGGAACTAGTCAGGGGTTCTAACTATTCAAAGATCTAGGTAATGTGATAAAGAATTGTTATTTGGGTGTAAACCAATGGGTAAAGTCATATAACATTCCATTATAGGCTAAAACATTAGCCTATAATGATTTAAATAAGCCCACTAACCAGTCATTTTTTTAAAAGAGTTATTTATTTATTTATTTATTTATTTATTTATTTATTATGTATACAATTGTTGAAATAAGAGCGGCGGGGCTGCGTCCCCAACACCCCAGCCGCTTGGCTAGCTCATGCCCGAAATAACAACACACCAACTGTATTCATTTGAGAACTGCTTGGCCCCTGAACTCTAGCCCTTACAGGCTAATTCTCACACCTGGACTAGCCCATTTCTAATGATGTGTGTAAGCACCCCAAGGTGCGCTTACCAGGAAGATTCTAGCCTTCGTCCATCCTGGGAGAGTGTAGCATGGCAAGCATGGCGTCTCTGCTCCAGAGCAGAGCTGTCCAGTCTCTCCGGGAGCAGAGCAGAGTCTGACCTCACTTCCTCTTCCGCCCAGAATTCTATTCTGTTTACTCCTCCCATCTATGTTCTAAGCTGAGGGCCAGCCAAGCAGTTTCTTTTATTGCTCAGCCAATGAAATCAACAGATTGATATATGACACTCCCACATCACTTCCCCTTTTTCTGTTTAAACAAAGAGAGAAGGCTTTAACTTAACATAGCAAAATTACATATAACAAAACAGTTATCAAGTAACAATTATAATAATCTATAGCATAACTAAGGAAAACTATAACTATAGCTAACTATTCTTAACTCCATCAAAGAGTCCAGAAAGATACAATATTACCTAAACAAATAAGAAATAAGCAAACTCTCAAACTCTAGAAATGACAGAGACATCTCGCTGCCTGGACAGTCACCCAAAGTTCCTCTGTACCATTGGGGCATCCATCTTCAGCCTAGAGGCCCATAGTTTCCAGCAGACATTTCCATAAAGCAGGAACTTTCAAAGGCAGTCACTATCTGCTTGTCCTGAAGAATGTCTCGCAGACTCTTTCATGAATCAGGAACCCCGAAAGATCATCTCACCTTTAGGCAAGTTCAGCAGTCCTCTCTCTGCGGGTTCTCTGTGTCCAGTTTATGCAATAGTCCAGGCAAGAGCAGTTTCTTGCCCAAATGGCTATCAAACTCCATAAGGATCCTCTTCGATGCCCATCTTCCTCTTGAAGTAGATTGGTGCTGCCAGGAGCAGAGTGTCTCATTGTCATGAAAAGTCCTAAGTTATTAAAACATTTTAAAATGCCATATTCTATAATCTTTGAAAAATATGAAGAATGTCTATCTAAAATATATCTATGCACATCTAGAAAATCTTAACTAACATAACTACAAGCTTAACTACTATTAATGATTATTCATTAACAACCTATATACATTCAAAATTGACCTTAAATCTCTATCAATAAAGCAAAATCTATACTAATGCAAATTATTCATATCTATATCATATTCCCCTTTAAATGTAAAAGAACGTTTATAAACCATATTTGGGAATATGGGCGCAGATTTTTCTCTCCAAACTGCTTCCTGCTGAATGGGGGCGTCATTAATTAGGTCTTTCAAGGTATAACCTGTGTGCTAGTTTCATCTCAGTTGGCAGGTGAGCGAAGCAATTTTCTGAAGGTATTCACAGCAACCGTTCAGGAGGGCGTGGTCTGTCATACCATATCGGAATAGAAGAAATGAACAGGGTCTCATCCTCTGTGAAAACAAAATAGGAAACTCCTTTCGAAAGCATCATGTCCTTAGATCCAAATTTCAAAGTCAAGGCATCAAAATCTCTACGATGGATTAGTTCAGCAGCATTTATAAACAAATATCTTTTAGCATCTGTTGCTCCTTCCTCAGCATTCAAACAATTCAAAGAGAGCATAATAGTATACAGTATCAAGATTCTCTGTGTATTTTCCATCTTTGTACGCTTTATTTTAACCTCTATTTTGTTTATTTTTAATTTTATTGTATATTCTCAGTATCTTTGTCCTGGAATAACTCTGTAGACCAGGCTCTCCTTGAACTCTCAGAGATCCGCCTGTCTCTGCCTCGCAGGCATTTGGGATTAAAGGCGTTTGCTACTACACCTTGAACTCACAGAGATCTGTTTGTCTCTGCCTTCTAGGCACTAGGATTGAAGGCCTGTGCTACCACACCTTGAAGTCACAGAGGTCAATTTCCCTCTGCCTCCCAAGTGTTGGGATTAAAGGCGTGTACTACCACACACAACTTCTCTTTTTCTTACTTTTTTTTAAGAACTTTTAACTTTTAGCTTGCATATATTTCTAACGCACTGTAAATCATTTAAACATTTTCTTTGTCTTTGAATCTCTTTACTGTATATCTCTCTTTTTCTGACCACACAAGCCTTTAAATTATAGGATTAAAGCCGTGGCTTTGCCAGCTAGATCCAGTCCATTCCTTAGCTTTCCAGCCTCATGGCGGAGATACAGGCTGTAGCCTTGTTTATAGACACAGGCGTTTCAAGGTCCCTGCCAGCCAGCGAGCTACAACAGACAACAGTCAAGTCATCCCTCGGTAGTTGGCTCTCCTGCCTCAGTCAGAGTTTGCCCTGGCTGTGTGTATGCCTGAAGGCCAGAAGAGGGCACCAGACCCCATTACAGATGGTTGTAAGCCACCATGTGGTTGCTGGGAATTGAACTCAGGACCGTTGGAAGAGCAGGCAATGCTCTTAACCTCTGAGCCATCTCTCCAGCCCTAACCAGTCATTTTTATATCTCATGTGATGGTGGGGGTTAAAGAGAGCCCTACAAATTTGCTGGATTAGATGTAACAAAATCCAAAACCTGTGCTTTGGTTTAACATTGGTATTTGAAGGCTTAAGGAGATGTATGTGGCCAGGGCTGACCATTTACAGAAGAGGAAATGGAAAAATTGTAAAAGCCAGAGGATCAGAGAATTTGCTGTGGGTTTGTGCCTCCTAATAAAATTCGAAGCCACACACATACAGTTTCCCTTACACAACTGCCCAATGAGCTGAACAAGGATAATATCCCCCACGCCTCAACACTACACAAAGAACTATAGGCGACTGAGGAAAAGTGGGAATTGGAGGCATGGTGTTCTTGGGGAAGAGAACACGAGTTGGTTGTTAAGAGATGGGAATAGTGGAATGAGTTAATTTACATGCCCTCTGCTCACCCAGGAGACACTCCTTTCATTATGATGGCAAAACATAAATTTGCAGGGGGAGCTCCAGTCCCTTAGAAATGCTCTACGTTTGCACATTTTTAATTTTCAATGTGGTCTTAATTTAAATATAATTACACCATGTTCCCTCTTTCCTTTCCTCTCTTCAATATCTCCCGTGTCCTCTACCCACTTTCAAGTCGGCAGCCTCATTTTTCTTTGATTATTTGAGTGTGCATGTGCGCATGCGTGCACACAAACGCGACCTACTGAGTCCATTTTTGTTGGTGGTATGTATACGGTTTCATGACTGACCACTTTCCATTGATCAAAACCATCAAGGTTTTTCATCATGGGGGAGGCTAGTTCTCCTTCTCCCAGAAGCCATTAGTTGCTTGCAGTTCTTTGTCTAGGAGTAAGATCCTGTGAAATTCCTACCCTTTCGTATTAACATGTCCGCTGATATTGTCATTGTTCTGGTCTTATTTATGTTTCCACTTCTAGAAAAGATTGTTTCACGGAAGTCTGCCTGGTTTCTGGCACTAACAATATTCCCAGATGCTCTTTCACGATACTCGCTGAGTTATAGCATAGATGCAGGAGCTGAGATGTAGTTTTGTCCACTGAAGATATATTCACCACAATCTGTGTATTGCTGCATGTGTCCCACATGATAAAGCCTCAAGGAATCAAGATATTTTATACTTACCTAAAAGTATACACCATATACACACTTACTATATATAGCTATATATATGTATATATTAAAGTTATGTCATCTGACTTGACAATGCTTCTTACATGAATGAGAGACTAATAAAAACCCTATTACCAGTCACAGAAAGCCTTACTTTCAATGGTTAATTAGGGTAGTCCAAGTGATTCCCCCAAACAATATGCATTATTAATATAATCCTGCATTGACTTTCAGAGGTTAAGTGTGGGCCTCTGCTATGAAGACAGTGCATACTTGGGGCACAGAACTCAGAAGACTTGAGCTAGACCTGCCCTGAAAGCCTCTTTCCTCTAGTTGAGTGCCCATTGTTCCAGAAACCACGATGAAAGCTGCTAAGTGGCCGTGCTGCCTAGTTCTGCGTCAGCTTGACACAGCCTACAATTATCGGAAAGGACTTCCTTCAGTGATGGATTATGATGTGGGAGTATAAGTAAATAAATCCTTTCCCTTCTAGCTCGTGTTTACTTGTGGTGTGTTTCCTCACAGCAACAGAAGCCGTAACTGTGACTGTAGGGGAGGCAATTGAACAGTCCTACCCAGCGGCAAGACCTGGGAACTGAACAATTACCAGCATAGTAAAAACTGTATAAAGGCACAATACGTGGTACCGTTTGGTGAAATTCAATAGTTGTCTAATTGGCCCACTCAACTAGAGAGGAATGGTCCTGAAGACCTAGCAAGCTTCCCAGGGCTAGAGAGGTCATGGGTCTTAGGAAAGAATTTACTGCTGTCGTTGTTCTAGGCTGGTGTGATTCCTTATTGCCTTCTGAACCATATCTTCAGATCAAAAGCTGAGTGTAACTATCACCCATCGTTAAGGTTTCTCTTTACAGTCTTCCACTTTTCTAAGAGCCAAGTTTGATGGAAATTGTAGTCACCGAATGCAATGCTGAGTGTATTGGGAGTGGGGACATCCCATGCTGCAGGAGTCAAGTGGCACCCCTGAGCCACTCAAAATAAGGTAAGCGTATAAGTATCACACTGGACGTTAGTAACAATAACAATAATAAGAGAAGTCTAACTCGAAGATCTGTACCAGTGGACCACAGGTGCTAAGTGCCTGAGGTCAGGAAGCCTTCCAAAGTCTTACTTTGTCTGTATAAACAAAGGAATTCTGGGTCTAGTGAATAAAATCTAATCTGCCTCATAAAAACAACTCTTTGGTCACTCTAAGATTTAAGCAAGTGAATAATGAATCCCTTAAAGGTGAAGCGAGGTCTCCTTTGTGAAGGACCTGAAGACAAGTCTAAAATTTTCCAGCTACTCTTTCTCCCATCCTTCACCAAACATGCCTATGGACTTTGACCAAGGTGAGTGTGCGTTGAAAAGGAAACAAATGAGCATTTTAAGGGCTAATGGGCACTGGCTTTTAACACTATGACACAATAATTGTCACTGGACTTCTGGGGGTCAGATGATGAATGGAAATTTTAGCTCAACTCCCAGTGGGTCATGATAAATTTATAAGCCAGCCTATGGCTATGTTCTAGACGAGAATGTATCGGTGTTGATGCTTGATCCCATGATCTGAGGAGGGAGGGTTCCTATTGTGAAAAGGACCAAGAAGATGCCTACGTAATTGTGGTGATTCCCCTGATGGCTTCACAGCAGGCAGGGAAAAACAATCAGGGTGAGGTAAGAATGAAACTCTGTTCAGCCTGATTTTATTGTAACCAGTGCTGGACCAAGACTTTTAGAGTCTGGCCTAGATCTTTTCTTTTAGACATATTTAACCATAGCACAATTTTGGGGGATGAATACTTAGGTAAAAATTAACTGAGGCCCAAGAGTACAACAAAACTTAAGACATGTTTACATTGCAACTCTTCAGCCGGGTGGTGGCGGCGTACACTTGGGAGGCAGAGGCAGGTGGATCTCTGTGAGTTTGAGGCCAGCCTGGTCTACAAGAGCTAGTTCCAGAACAGGCTCCAAAGCTACAGAGAAATCTTGTCTTGAAAAAAAAAAAAACCAAAAACCAAAACCAAACCAAACCAAACCAAAACATTGCAGTTCTTCAGAACGTTTCATCTGTAAGATAGTTTCATGTAGACTTTAAAACAATGTTCAAAGTAAGGGTCTAGGGAGAACAACTGAGGTAAACATCATGGCTGCGGGAGTCTGGACTGACCTGGCCCTAAGATAACCTAGAGGCCACTTAGGCTGCTGTAAAGCACACGTGACATCACTTTTAAGGATGGGTTTTATGGCCTAAAAGCAACACTCGCGATTTAGGAGAAAAGGGTCTGAGATAAGCAGATACAAAAATTCTGTAAGATATGGGCAGAGCCTGTCTCATTAGACAGCATAGGATCACCAAGCTGTAATCTACGTCACCGCTGACATTCCAGGAAGAGCAGCTGCGCATCTCATTCCACTGGAGAGGTAAGATGTGTGTTTGAATTTTCTGCCTTTCTCAGTGCCTATCTTTGTGCACAAAAGGCCTTTTTGCCCTCTATTCATAATTTTTTTTGTGCACCCCAAACATAAAACTAAAAGAACTAACTCACTTCTGGAGAGACTGCAGCGGTCTATGCCAACAAAGAACTTGAAAGTGCGGAAGTGGAGAAGATGAAGAAGATGAATACCCTCATTTAACTATGCTGTTTGGCCTGCGTGGAAGACTGAGCGATTTGGAGGGTAGAAGCCGATTATCATCAGCTTAATCAAGTGTTAATTGTGATTTTAGCTGCCTTGCCAGATGTGGCTTCGTTGCTTAATCAAATTAATACAGTCCCTTGCGTGAAATGGAGCTAATAGCCTGGCAAATGATTTCCCCCCTCCTCTGTTAGAAACCCCCAAAGAAAGTTATTTTCTTACACTAATACAACATGGATACCTACCTCGGTTGTATGTTGCATGTTGACTCTCTGTCTCTGTCGTAATTCAGTTCCAAAGAAAATGTCATGTCTCCTTCCACAAGATATCACATAGGGCATTCATTGCTGACAGTCTGTTGTTTATCCAAAGATTGAGGAAATGGCCAACACTCTAGACTCCTTACATAATCAACTGCTAGAGAGTGAAATCGAAATCTGATCAAAGTTTATGGTTTTCTACCTCCGTTAATATCTTGGAAGCAAGAGAGTCAGCACATTGAAATATTTCTTCAGAGACAAAGGAAACCTGGTTGCACCTGGATTCTGTATAACCAATTCCTATTGGGCCTCATTCTTTATTTAGGTGTAATATTCTGTCCCAGCTCCTGATGGACTGGGTTTAATAGGGCCCCAAAGAGGAGGCTATGATGGATCCAAGCTGTCCTGCAGGTTGCTCTGCTAGTGGGACCTCTGAGCCAGCAATTCAGTGATAATTGGGATGCTGGAGCCAGACAGGATGCTGTTTAGAACCTTTGATGTCCATTATAGGTGAACCGCAGGTGCTTGAGCATTTTGAGCAAAATCCTCCAATCATCTCTGGATAAATATTTCCCCTTTGAGAACTAGCATTTAGCAAACCAGTAGGCTCTTGCAAAAACTGAATATTTAACCGTGTGCACCAATGGTCTACACAGCCTGAGCTAGCCACTATGAATGTCACGTTCTCCCATATTCTAAGTAGGGTTACATGCACACGGCAATACTCCATTCCTCAATGGAAATGGGAAATGCAAGAGCAGACTCTGAAGGCACAGCTGAGGTCCACTAAGAAGTGGACAAAGAACTCATTGTCCCTCTCCTACTGTGCTCTCTTCTCTTCCCCCTCCCCTCGCCAGATAGCACTTCAGACACATAGAGAGTTCTTACAATTGATCCAAGAAGAAGGGAAATCTCACACCTGGTTCAGAGTTGGTTCTGGGTAATGTGTTGACAGCCCCCCTAAGGTGCAGAACTATAAGCCACTCTCTCAGAAAACCCAAGCTCGGTCATAAAGGGAAACCTTCACAGTTTGCGGAATTTCCAGCAGGACACTGACTTTTGTGCTTGACCACATGTGGTTGTATAAAATCTGTGTGTTTTAGCCAACAACTGGGCTGAATGGTAAGGAAGTAGGAGAATTAAGGCTGCAATATCTGTAGCAAGGAGAAGGTGGGGTGAATAGACCTCTCTGAAGGGGAAAATGATGATGAGGGTGTTTGTGCCACAGGCCAGTATCCACCAAAACTTGACCTTGACAGGGGAACTCTTTAATAGTCTAGTAAATAGGATATTTATTTTGGGGGTGCAATCAGTTTCCTGTGATTCTGTGACAGAGATGGGCACTACATGGGGACTCAGTAACAAGTCTGGTCACCAACCTACCTGATTATGGTCTCCACTGAGTGCCAGTGGCCGAGACTGATACTGAAGTCTCAAGACAACAACATCATTACTCGGAGAAATTGGTCTGCTGCCGGATGCAAGTTAGCTACTTTATACTGTTTCCATCACGAGAGTGGCAGCAATCTGTTCTCACCGGTTGCCATAGGTACTCACTCTGCAAATGAATTTGCCTTTGCTGCATGCAATGCTTCAGCCAAAATGCCAGTCCACGAACATCCAAACAACATGGCCTATTTACTGCCATAGTGTCTCACACAACATTGCTTCTGCACAAGGAACCCGTTTAACAGCAAGCTACGTGCATTCACGGCCTTAGGCTGATAGAATTCATGGATCTTACCATGTTTCCTGCCATCGCAAAGTTGCTGGTAGACAGAACAATGGAATGGATTTCTGAGAGTGTAGTTACAATATGAATGATGTCAATGCCTAGCAGAGCAAGGACGAAGTTCTAACAGGGGCTGCATACTCTCTGAGTCAGCTCTAGTACATAGCGCGGTTTCTCCCATAAGCAGGATTCACAGGTCCAATAAAGGAGCAGGAATGGGAGTTGCACGGTTTGCTTATAACACAAAGTGGCCATTCTGTTCTCTTGGCCTGTGTTCTTGCCTACTACCGTCATCCAGGAGGCTCTCCGGTCATACTTCAAAAACTACCACCTAGCCATCGGGAGCTCATCATGCCTCTGAACCAACGAGCGTGATAGTCACCGTACCGCCTGATTCTGAATTCTAAGGAAAATTAGATTTTGGCTCTATAATGGAGATAAGGCGGAGTGTGTCTGGAACAAATGAGAGTTTTATCTTAGTTTCTTTTCCTGTTGTTGTTATGAACTACTCCAACAAAAGGAACTTAAAGGGTTGTTCTTGGTTACCTCACTGAATTCCTTTCCCTTGGGGCTGTCTGGGGATCTCTGTCCTGAAACAGGTGGAGCCTTTTCAGAAGCCACCCTCACTTGGATTTTACTTTGTGACATTTAGCTTCATTAAAAGCATGGGTATGGGAAAGGGCAAGAATGCTTTGCATATGTTTGGGGGGTGGGTGCTCAGGGAGCCAACCTGCTGGCACTGGCTTTGCCTCTTAGAGCTGCTGTGTGCCTC